ACTATTATGATTAGAAATGTGCTAAAGAAATCTGCTCTCAGTTAAACAGAAAGGGGCGCTTGACCATCACTCCACACTTTAACATGGCGAACGGCGGTGAAGAGAGGCTGAGGCAACAGTACTAGAAAGCGCCGGCGTCTTTCAAATCTGCGGTGTGAGGACATTTCGGTTTTGCCGGTAAGTATAACGCCAATAAAAGAAAAAACTGTGAACAAAACATAACTGTGTGCAGCATTGATTTACAGGTATAACCATGACTGCACATCTGCAGCGCATCACCCAGCAATATCACTGTCTGAAGCAGGACAGCAGAGAAGGTAATAAAGTCCTCCAAAACAGCACCAATCCCTCGCTGAGTCCTTCAAGCAAACAAACCCAACTGGATCTGAGAGACACATAAAATAAAGGCAGTGCGGGTGTTTACTGCTGAAGATTTGCAGCCGTTTTGGGTGATTGGAGATGTGGGCTTCTGTCATCTTATAAAAGCACTCGATCTGCGTTACAGACTACAGTCTCGCATTTTTCAGCACCGAGATAATGAAGATGTTTATTTATGTTTACTGAAGGACAAATATGTTTATTTGAAATGCCCAATTTATCTTTATTAACTTTACATGTGTGTTTATTCTCAAAGTGGAGGAATTCATGTGTTCCCCAGTTTGTACATGGGCCACCAGCAGCTGCGAGATTTCAGTGTTCATTTTTTATTTTTTTAATACAATACTCTAGGAACTAGTTTAAATGCAAACATTTGGTATCATTTTAAAGAAAACCCTTTGAATTTTCATAAAACACTATTAAAAGTTTTTAAAATATCTGTATATGTTGTCTGTGTTATAATAAACACCTAATAAAAAAAGAGCCACTTTTTGTATTTTTTTTTTATAAACTCAAATTTGAAAGTGAACCTTTTAGGTTCTGAGTGGTCTAGCGTGCTGTATTTAATGTTGGTGGTAATAAATGTCTCCACCATAATCTATGCAAAAGTTATTGTGTTCCAACTGATGAGAGGTGCTGTACAAGCCACAGGGAGCGATCATTGTTTTCATATTTCACTATTCTTCTGTTTGATCAATCATAATTCACTGTGTTTGGAGCACGTCAGACATATAACAGGATTACTTATGCACATCCCCTCAAAAACAAAGGAGAATGGCCTTGAAGAGCACAGCATAAGGTAAGAGATGACAGCTGTCTGTGCTATCTGGGGCTGCTTATTAATCATGAATGTATTGTTTTCACTTCTGCGCCATGGAAACACCGCGATTCATTCGACAACTGTTTGATATGTGAATATAATTCAGTAAAAAGAATTCTAGAACTGTATGAGCCCCGGCAAGAGCTTTCATTTGAGCTATAACTTGTACATGTGTCATGAACCATATAAAAACGAACCAATGTTCAATACCCAGCTCAGGGATCCAAAATACTGTGTATTTAAGTGTAAGTAACTTTTGTACAGAAGAGTAAAAACCAAAGTGATGCATATGTGCATAAAATAAAGATTCTACACTTTCAAACAAAAACACTTACGGGGTCTGGTCAATGCTAGTCCTTTAAATCTCGAAAGTCGATGACGTCACGGACTTAGTACCGGGTCAGCAGAGTTTAACTGGTTAAATCCAATTGAATTAATAGAACTAAACTGTGCTTGATATCATAAGTTAATGCACAGTGAGTTAACATGAACTAACGTTAAGTTAAGTTATAAAGATAAATTAATATTATAATAAATGTATTACCAATAGTTTGTTTATGTTAGTAAATACAATACCATTAACTAACGGACCATTATTTGAACATGTTACCAAGTAAGTAGTAAAACTATTACAAATTGCACAAATGCATGTTACTATGCTTGTATATAATAACTTGAACTGTTAAAAGCTATAAGCTATAAGTTGCTAGTTATTTAGTTAAAGTTATAAGTAGGCCCACACAAAATCTGCGCGTGGATTTTCTGCAGATTTCCACAGATTTTTTAGCCCATCGTCAATTCTGTTTATACTTGAGTAAATGTGTGTAAATAAATCTATATTTATTTAGTTTTTTAAATTACAGTAATATTATTGGCTGATATGAAAACGTTCATTTGATTTATTTACAATGCAGTGTGTACAGTAATATTTTCTGTCTTTTAGTAGATATATTATGTGAGAGACTTGCTTTGTTTACCAAATAAAGTGCATCTAATTGGATTTGCATTTTAAACATTAAATAACAAAAAATATTACTTTTTATTTCACATATTAAAGTTTTACTAATGATACTCCCAAAATAATTCTGCAGAAATCCGCAGATTTTTAACAAAATTCTCCACAGAAATAGCAAAAAATGTCAGCAGATTTCGTCTGGACCTATTATAAGTAACTAATAATAACCTGCTTTTGACTGTAATGCAATATGGTCCTTTTGTAAAGCTACTTTGAAACAATAACTATTGTGAAAAGCACTATACACATAAACTTGACTTAAATTGAATTGAAAGTACAAAGTATTTAAGGTCAGCTGATAAAAAGCGGGACCAAGAATTTTCAGAATTAAATCTTGGTGTTTCCGGTAAGTATTTTTAATCTAATATTTCTAAAAGTTTACATGAATATGTGGATGGAAACGAGAGGACTCTTTACAGGCTTTAAAATTTTAAGATGTTGATTACGAGGGAAACGTCTGCGGTTAAATACGCTGACGGTGCTCAGAAACAGACTTTGGATCTGCAGTTTGACAAGAGACTCAATTTAATAGAGTTAAAATACAACCAAGCTTCACTGAGACGTCCTTTATGAGAGTCAAAGTTACTGACGAATATTATATTAGTGCACTGAAGCTTTAAATCAGGGATCACCAAACTAGTTCCTAGAAGTCCGGTGTCCTGCAGATTTGAGCTCCAACTTTAATCAAATGCACCTGAACAAGCTAATCAAGGTCTAATTAGGTATACTTGAAACACCTAGGCAGGTGTGTTGAGGCAAGTTGGAGCTAAAACCTGCAGGGACACCGGCCCTACTGGACCAAGATTGGTGACCCCTGCTTTAAATGTTCATAGTGAACAGTGGATCTTAACCTTTTCACTCAAAATTTGACACCACCAATCTCTATTGCAATATTCAAAGACACCATGATGAGTCTTAATGTTGTTTACTGTATATTCCTTCAGGCTTAGTCCCTTATTTATCAGGGATCGCCACAGCGGAATGAACCGCCAACTATTCCAGCATATTTTTTACACAGCGGATGCCCTTCCAGCCGCAACCCAGTACTGGAAAACACCCATACAGACTCATTCACAACAGCCAATTTAGTTCATCAGTTCCCCTATAGCGCATGTGTTTTGACTGTGGGGGAAACCGAAGCACCCGGAAGAAAAGAAACCCACGCCAACTCGAGGAGAACAAGCAAACTCCACACAGAAACGCAAACTGACCCAGCCGAGGCTCAAACCAACAACCTTCTTGCTGTGAGACCACAGTGCTACCCACTAAGCCACCAAATGTAAACATTATATACACAGATAATAACAACTCTTTTCAGCCCCTACACAACTATAAATGTTGTATATCATCAAATAGTTAATGAGGTCTAATTTCTGTATGATGTGAGCCATTTTAAAGCTGCCGCCTGACGTCTGTTTGAGTCTGTACATGAGACATGATAATTATCTAAACAAACATACACACACAAAATAAAACACTCCACAACACACACTCTGCATCTTCGCTACAGTAAAGACTAAATGAGTCATTGAGAAGCTGAATAAGCGTCAGCGAGTCTCTGCACGTCTCCAACTGGAGAAGCAGATGTTTCAACACCAGCACATCAGCAAAGGCTAGAAAACCTCGTCAGAACATGAGCAGATATAATTACAGCATTCAAACACATCCAAACACACACTCTCAGCAGAGCGCATCACTTTTTTCTGTTGCCATTAATTGCAATCATGGTTAAATACTGCAGTATTTGTTTTTTCTGCGATGCACAGTCAAACTTATTTACCCTTCTGTGATTATCTTTTTCAAATATGATGTCGAACAGATTCAGGAATTTTTCACAGTATTTCCTATAATATTTTTTCTTCTGGAGAAAGTCTTATTTGTTTTATTTCGGCTAGAATAAAAGCAGTTTTGAATTTTTTTAAACCCATTTTAAGCTCGATATTATTCGCCCCCTTCAGCAATATTAGTTTTGGATAGTCTCCAGGACAAACCACTGTTGTACAACGACCTGCTTAAATACCCTAACTAGTAAATACATTAACATTATTAATGGTCTATTATTTTAAAGTGTTACCAAATAAGTTGTAAAAAAATATTTAAAATTATACACTTGCATGTGAACTATGCTTATATATGATAACTTTAACTGTTAAAAGCTATTAGTTACTAGTTAATTAAAGTTATTAGTAACGAATACATTTATGGTAACTAATTACTTTAACTTTTCCAAAATCTGACTTATAATGTTCACCTTTTGCAAAGCTTTGAAACAATAACTATAGTGAAAAGCAATAAACAAATTAACTTGAACTGAATTTAACTAAAAGTACATATTAGTTAAGGTCAGCTAATATAAAGCAGGCCAGTATTTCCTCTAATATTATTTTCTTCTGTTTTAGGTTTTATTTCGGCTAGAATAAAAGCAGTTTTACATTTTTTTAAAAGCATTTTAAGGTCAATATTATTAGCCCTTAAGCAATATTAGTGTTGGATTGTCTCCAGAACAAACCACTGTAATACAATGACTTGCCTAATTACCCTAACTTTACCCTAATTACCCTAGTGAAGCCTTTACATGTCACTTTAAGCTTTATAGAAGTGTCTTGAAGAATATCTAGTCTAATATTATTTACTGTCATCATGACAAAGAGAAAATAAATCAGTTATGAGAGATGAGTTATTAAACTATTATGATTAGAAATGTGCTGAAAACATCTTCTTGGGAAATATTTCTAAAAATGTCACAGGAGGACTCATAATTCTGACTTGCACAGTGTGTGTACTCACCGTTGTATGTGACACGTGGTTTGGTCAAACACATGACCAGATGAAGGTCCATCTCATCTGAGGAGATAAACTTGGAGCAAACCGGGCACTTGAAACCTGTGGAGCAAAGCAGAGAACTAATGAGAGAACAATCCGGGGCTGCAAGCACATATGTTTACATCTGCAATAGGGTTGGCTGATTTGGCCTCAAATCAAAATCTCGATTAATTGAACATTTTAACTTGATTGCGTTTAATGAATGATTATTTATTTATTAAATTTTTATTGAATTAACTTATTTGTTAAATTAATTTGAAACCAAGGGGTGCATAAATTTCCCAGAATACACCAGCCACACAGGCAGAATAGCTGCAAACAGAAGTAAGGAGATACACAAATTAGTATTTTTCGTCATTATTTATGATTATATCGTCATTATCATTATATCGTCGATTTTTTTTTACATATTCATAACCGCGTTGGTGTTTTACCATCATGCTTAAAAAACACAAATAATAATATCACCTGTACAACAGTCCTACAACATACACTCATATCTGATGACACTCTAGTACCCTGTCAGTAAAGTCCAGTGTCTGTGAATGAGCTGTTCACAGTGTCTGCTGTAATGTTAATGCTGTTTTTGTGTGTTTACACAGATGAATATGGCCACTGTGTTAAACGCACAGTACATTTACGATCTTGTTGCCACATTAGATTGTTATGATAGCATGATATATGCCTTCAGTGACTTCCTGAAGATAAACACCAAAAATAAAACACAACTGGAATAACTCCAGCAGTCGCCACTGTCTGATCTCATATGAAGCAAGAGATGGTGAGGACATATGATGATGTGTGCTGGTGCTGTAGTGCTGTCTCATTTCTTAGGGGTACATTTTAAAGCCCTTCCCCTTCACACACTCTCTGTTTCAAGGGCCAAGGGGAAGACAAAGTAGTAGGGGTACAAAAATAGAACTGGGATTGGGCCTAAAGCAGACCTGAGCATTTTACAGCCCCATGTGACCAGCTGGACATCTTGGATCGGCTCATGTGACTAATTTGGTTCAATTAAACTCAACAGCAAACAGGGCAATGCAATGCACAGGTCTGATAGAGTGAGAGTCAGATTACAATAAGGCAAAGGTCTCAAACTCAATCCCTGGAGAGACGCAGCTCTGCACAGTTTTGCAGTGTGTTAACTAAACACACCTGATCCAACTAATCAAGGTGTTCAAGACTACTAGACTAAAGAGCAGGTGTGAGTTGGAGCTAGTGTGAGCTAAACTCTGCAGAGCTGCGGCCCTCCAGGAACTGAGTTTGAGACCATTTACATCAGGGGAGCCCTTGATTGGCTGATGAATTAATTTGCATCATAACATGGGAAACGCCTCTTTGCGTCACGCTTTAGCATGTTGATAATGTGAAGTGTTCCTTTCAGCTCGCTGCTGTTCAAAAACAGTGATGCCGATAACCTGTCTCGGAGAGCTGTAGCTCAATCAGTTTTCATTCATTCGTTTTCCTTCAACTTAGTCTCTATTTCAGGGGTTGCCACAGCGGAATGAACCGACAACTATTCCAGCATTTCTTTTACGCATGTGGATGCCTTCTAGCTGCAATCCAGCACTGGAAGATACCCATACACACTCATTTACTCTGTGTTAGTGTTTGTTTTAATGATATACGCCTAAATACAGATTCAGGTAAAATAACAGTACTGGTATTGTTGGATCTCAGTGCTGCATTTGACACTGTCGATCACAGCATACTTCTGGATAGGCTGGAAAACTGGGTTGGGCTGTCTGGCACGGTCCTCAAATGGTTTAGATCTTACCTTGAAGGGAGAGGTTACCATGTCAGTATAGGTGACCATAGGTCGAGGTGGACACCCATGACATGTGGAGTCCCACAAGGCTCGATTCTGGCACCTCTCCTGTTCAACCTTTACATGCTCCCTCTAAGCCAAATAATGAGAAAGAACCAAATCTCCTACCACAGCTATGCTGATGACACTCAGATCTACCTAGCCTTAGTGCCTAATGACTACAGCCCCATTGACACCCTCTGCCAATGCATTGATGAAATGAGCAATTGGATGTGCCAAAACTTTCTTCAGTTAAACAAAGAGAAAACTGAAGTCAATGCGTTTGGGAACAGAGATGAGGTTCTCAAGGTGAATGCGTACCTTGGCACTAAAGGTCAAACGACAAAAAATAAGGTCAAGAATCTGGGTGTGACTCTGGAGTCAGATCTGAGTTTTAAGAGTCATGTCAAAGCAGTCAGTAAATCAGCGTACTGTCATCTCAAAAACATTGCAAGAATCAGATGCTTTGTTTCCAGTGAAGACTTAGAGAAACTTGTTCATGCTTTTATCAGCAGCAGGGTGGATTACTGTAATGGACTCCTCACTGGTCTTCCTAAAAAGACAGTCAGACAGTTGCAGCTCATCCAGAACGCTGCAGCCAGAATTCTAACCAGAACCAGGAAATCAGAGCACATCACACCTGTCCTCAGGTCTTTACACTGGCTGCCAGTTACATTCAGAATAGATTTTAAAGTATTATTACTGGTCTATAAATCACTAAATGGCCTAGGACCTAAATACATCACAGATATGCTCACTGAATACAAACCCAACAGATCACTCAGATCATTAGGATCATATAAACTAGAAGTTCCAAGAGTTCAGTCAAAGCAGGGTGAATCGGCTTTTAGCCACTATGCCCCTCGCTGCTGGAATCAGCTTCCAGAAATGATCAGATGTGCTCCAACATTAGGCACATTCAAATCAAGACTGAAAACACATCTGTTTAGCTGTGCCTTTACTGAATGAGCACTGTGCTGCGTCCGACAGATTGCACTATCATGTTTTTCTCTTCTTCTTCATTCTTTTATATCACATTTTACCTGTTTTTATGTTTTGTTTTGTTTTTACGCATTTTTATTATTTGTTTTTATTTTTATTTTACTTGTTTCTTTTATTCTTGTTTATGTAAAGCACTTTGAATTGCCATTGTGTATGAAATGTGCTATATAAATAAACTTGCCTTGCCTTGCCTTGCCTTGTGTTGACTTGTGAAACCCACACACAGGCTAAAAGCAGCTGAACTCTGACAATATAAACAGTGTGCGTGTGTGTGTGTTTGCGTGCATGAAGACTGAATGCTGTGATTGAGTGTGTGCCCCGTGAGCATCTCGTGACTACAGTCTGAACACTGCATTTAAAGCTTTGTTTTCTTTAGCAGTTCGTTCAGCTGCTGAATGAGGACGGGATCGTTTCACTGCTATATTTATAAATCTGCCTTCAAATATTGAGACATACATCTACAAATGAACAACAAAATTAAGGTGCATGGACAGTAAATTTTACATTTTCAAGAGCTCCATGTGATTTTCATTCACAAATTTTCTTTTCAGCTTAGTCCCTTTATTAATCTGGGATCGCCACAGCAGAATGAACCACCAACTTATCCAGCAAATGTTTTAATCGGTGGATGCCCTTTCGATTGCAACCCACTGGGAAATTCACACACATTCACTATGGACAATTTAACCTACCCAATTCCTCTATAGTGCATATGTTTGGTCTGTGGGGGAAAGCGGAGTACCCGGAGGAAACAACACGCGAACGCAGGGAGAACATGCGGTGTCAGAAGAGAAGTCAACGAAGCAAACACAGATGGCTATGAGGCGCCGTGCATTTAAATCAAACTTTGCTCATCAACACATACATAACACCTGCATATACACCTATAAATGACTCACATTCACACCAACACTATTGAATGTTCAAAACATGTATGAAACTTGCGCATATACATATAAACTTGATGCATGCACACACCCGCATGTAGATAACAGAATAGTACAAACAGAAATTGGAGAAAAATATAAACAGGGGGGCTAATAATTCTGACTTCAACTGTATCTCTATAAGCAGAGTCTGAGAGTTTTATATATTTTAGTTTATTTTACATTTCTTGTTTGTAAAGGCTAAATACAAATAAAAAGTGAACATTAATTTTTTGTACAGTTTTTATTTATTTATTTTAAGTTATAAACCCTGGAGGTATTAACGACTTTGCATTTGTAGATACAGACATCCTTTGTGTTTGTTCTTGGCAGTTTTTTCCTGTCTTTTTAATATTGTCCATATCGGAATTATATTGTGTCGACCAAAATTAAGAAATATCATATATATTTTTGTCATATCGTCCAGCCATATTTTCAATAAACGATTCAGTCATTCACTCATAAAGCTTCATGCTTTAGATGATCATTTCTGAAGAATTATTCAGTGGCGTACTTTTGATGACTGGTTGTCGCCACCTATTGTTACAATAATGTAATTGCTGCCTACAACTTTCATTTTTAAGCATCGTTAAATGCATGTGACAGTGATTTTAATCTTTACCAAAAAACATCAGTGGTTTTATCTAAACTATAGACTGTTCTCCCAGTGCTGCCGTGTTATTTGTGTGTAACTAACTAAAGGCTCAAGACTCATCTTTGCGTTTTCAGATTTGAATGCTGCGATTGGAAGGATTATTAAGCACGCAAATCACCATCATTTATAATATATGTTGCGTGGGTGTTGAGATCCAGATCTTTTCATGACTAATCGTGCAGCTTACACTAAATGCATTAATGCAGGCTAAACTAGTGACAGAATAACCTAAGAAACCATCCACATCCTCAATAACCCAGCACAACTTCTTCCGTCATCAATACATTTTACAGGAAAATCTAAATGCTTTCATACATATGATTTGAATAACACAAGAGGCGATCCCTCTGTGGTCATTACAAATCTAAGATTAATCTACCAGTAAAAAAAAATGGGTCCCACTTTATATTAAGTGGCCTTAACTAATATGTACTTGCATAGGAATTAATAGTTTGTTAGATTGTACTTATTGTGTAAATACATGTATTTACTGTGTACTTATGCTTGATTAAATACATGTATGTAATTAACTTTTGTAATTACATTTGTAAATACACTGTTGACCATCCATTACACCTTAACCCACCCTTAAACCTACCCATGCCACCAAACCTGTTCATAACCCAACCTCTATTCCAACTCAAAAGCACCACAAGTGTTCTCAAATACA